ATTGTGTTTTGCATTTGTGAAACGTATTTTATGAATATATATTCTTATTTTGTGCACATGAATTGGTTTTTGTGAATATATATTTTTTTTTTTCCATGCATGTGAATTGGGTTACGCATGTGTGCATCGCGTCTTTTGCGTGAATTATTATTGAGATCATTCTGGCTCCATTTTCATTTTCATTTAATTCCCCGCCTACACAGTTTTGCGTATAGGGCCCCCAGAAGTCTAGGATCGGCTCTGATTCTAGGATATAAGTATATCCTAACAGGTTTTACCACTGTCTGAGAGCACAGTGAAATCACAGTGTTAACAGACATCTCCAGTTCTGTTCCTGTATGGGATCGCATATACAGCTTCTCTGAGCACAATTAAGCATGCCAAAAAACACATTTGACATGTTTGCGTTTGAATGGTTCTAAAAATATATGCCTCTATACAGTATATGTTAAAATGCCAGTGGAAAAATGTACAGAATGTCACCTTTAAGTTCTTCCCGCTCCGGCACATATGATTTACTAGATAAGAATAACAGCACTTTTAGAGTTCCATCCCTCTATTTTATGTCAGCATAAGTACAATTGACAGCACAGTTGAGAGAAACAATTGACAGTTCTTTGTAAATGATCAGGTGTTTTTATTGCATTAATTGAACAGTGATCACACATCATTTTGACAAAATGTTTGTATTTTATAATGTACAATCAGCACACAAACATTATTGGCCTTGCTTAAAAAATTCAAATGAGATTCAATAAACTTTAATCTTGAATCAATCTTAAATAATTTCTCAGCTAAAATGGCCATATTTCCCTTGATATATTCAGTCACAGTACAAGAAATTGAGCTCATCTGACAACCTTCATTCACATTGAACATGAATTCTGTGCACTTTGAGAACACTGCTTTTTTCTATGATAGATTAGACCTGATGATAGATTAAAACTTCTTCCACACTGAGGACAAGTGTATGAATGAATGATGCATTTATATAGCGCTTTATTGTGTATTGTTGTACACCCAAAGAGTTCTCATGTGATCATTGTGGTTTTCTTTTCACACTGAGGACACGTGTGAGGGTTTCCTGCAGTGTGAATTATCATATGTTCATCAAGTAGTTTTTTACATGTAACTCTTTCCACACTGAAGGCAGGTAAAATTGTCTCTCTCTCTAGTGTGAATTGTCCCACATTGTGCCATTTTTCATGCATTTTCAGGCTTCCTGACAGGACAAAACTCTTTTCACAATAAGAGCACTTGTACGGTCATTCTCTCGTATGGACTCTTTGGTGTTTTATCAAATAGTTTCCACACTCAGAGCACACATGTGTTTTCACACCCTCATGTCTTTTCTGGTGCCTCTTAAAAAAGTCAATCCATACAAATCTCTTTCCACAAGCAGAACAGCTGTAAGATTTCTCTTTTGTATGTACATTCAGGTGTTTCTTTAGGTGTGACACCAAAGCAAATATTTTATTGCAGTGATCGCAGTTAAATTCCTGTGCTGGGTGATAGAGGCGCTGATGATATTTGAGACTGCTTGACCAAGTGAAACTCTTACCACAGTGATTACATATAGGGTTTTTCTTTAGTGTGAATTCTCATGTGAGTTTCAGCTTGAGATTTATTTATGAAACTCTTTCCACAATGAGGTCAAGCGAAAGGCTTCTCTGCACAGTGACTTAGTGACTCTTAAACTTTCCTTTACTTGTGAATCTCTTTCCGCACTTAGGGCAAGTGAAAGGTCTTTCACCCGTATGAGTTCTCAGTAAAGTTTATTTTATATGTGGAAGTGTTTCCACACTGAGGACATATGTAAGGCCATTTGACTTCTGGGGCAAGTTCAAGCTCAAACCGGTGTGCACCGTTTTGCTACGGTTTCCGGTTTGAACGACATGTTTCCTGGAAATGGTGTGCAACGGGGTTTGAGATGCGTTTTCTCTTGTTTGGTGGGTGTGTCAAACATGTCAGCCCAATCAGCAGCAACATGTATGTAAACCACGCGGTATTAAAGAGACAGCTCGCACAATGTAATTAACATCCAAATAAATTCACAAGAGCAAGTATATTGTTTGCACATGTTTATTTACATTAAAGGCAAAATAACTGAAATAATAAGAGCACAAGTATAGATCTGGAACTTTTTTAAGTCTGTCTAAATATCATTTAGTAATTGCAATGTCTTCTGGTCCATATCCTTTCCTTAGGAAGGTGTGCTAAATACTGATTAATGTAACATAAAAATACTATACATATTTATATATTTTGCTATTGTATTATGGAGTGACACTTTCATAGACTTTTCTATACTGCTCTGATTATATAATGGTAAATATTACAATAACATAGCACAACAAGAGTGATCAGCAATAATGATAAGCCTAATACTCACAATAAAAATAATAAGGTCATATAGATCATAACACAGTCTCGGAGGTAAGAAGTGGATGATCCTTGACCTGAAATGTTTGTCTTTTCATCCTGAAATGCGAGGCAAATGTTGGATCACAATAATTAGGAACCACAGTTTCCACAAATCCCTTCATTTGATTGGGATGTTCTCTTTTATTCTGGAGGGCAAGGGCAATGACTGTACCATCGAGCGTATTTTGCAGTATTAAACACGTATTTATACCGATTTCATCAGGCTCCGAAAATTCTTCAAAAAGAACACAAAGAATGGCCTTCTCAGCTGCCATAGTTGCAACTCTTGCGTCATCAGAACAGGGTGTTCAACGCACCACCGTTTCCGTTTAAAAAACGTTTTGTACCGTTTTTGTCGGGGCTGAACGCAGCCCTGGTCTCCCCTATAATCTGAAAAATGAGAAAGCGTTGACGTTAGAAAACTAATAAAAAACATTCCAGGGGGGAAAAGAGCTTTCAAAAGTCTTTTTCAGGAAGCAACGAAATTTTGCTTCTCCTCGGTTTAATCGTGGAAGAGGATTAATTAAAAATAGCTATTGAAAGTCATTACATCACCAGGAATGGTAAATAAGTAGACTATTATTATTATTTGTATTATATTTATGTTTTGTTTTTATTTGTTTGGTTTGCAAGCTAGCTTATTTTGACTGTTGCTTCGTCTTTTTTTATTTGTGCACGGCATGTATCTTATTCATTCTGTTAATCGTAGGCTATTAAACGACTGACAGCTGCTGAACTTTATTCTTTAAACTAAATGAGAACGCTTTTGATGTAAACACTGAAGTATGCATACAAATTGTATTTCCTGTAAAAGTCTACAATAAAATAACTCACAACCTAGAAACTATATAACGATAATTGAAAATGTGAATTTGGTTAAGTAGGCTACTATGTATTAGTAGTTTACAAATAAAAAGTATTTATGTAATGTATATTTTAAATACACGAATGTGTTGTTATTTAGCTGTAAATTCAAGTCATATATGCAAGTACATCTAAAGGTTTCATTCATAGATAAATGATTGGTGGACATCTGTGACGTAGGCGTCAGAGTTCTGACCAATCAGCGCTAGGCGGTAAGTTTCAAAACACAAATGGCGACGGAAAGAACTGAAGCGTGAGTAGTGTCTATCAAATTATAAAGGCATATGCGGAATTAATAAACTATTTGAATTGTTTTTATAGTGCTTTATACGTTTAAAAATGCTCTGTCACTATAAGAATCAAGTTGGTTCGCTGGCACGTCATTATTTGGATGGTGATAGCTGAACTACCTCAAGTCACCGTTGTAACGGTAGTTTTCGCTAAAATACTATCAATACAGTTATTGTTATTACAATAAAAAGGCGGCCACTCAGTTTTCAGTCACCACCGTCATTACATTAACCCTCTGATGCATCTTTAAATCATTAGGGTTTGGTGTTACACCCAAAACACCCGTTCTCATAACTGTATGACTGTCATCTTTATATTTGTGGCAGCGTACATTCAACATGCTACGACACTATTTGAAATACTCCACCGATGAACTTTCACAAGGACATTTTAATGAAATAATTAAAGACATTTATTTTTAATTCTTATATTGTGTAGATTTTAATACAAATACTGACGTGCAGGTGAGTGACAACCCAAAAGAAACTGCAGCTAGATATTATATAAACGGGCACGGCTTTCTTCTTGTTTTTAAGGTTTTTTTTAATTGATTTTTTTTTTTAAGAATATATTTTTCCTTTGTAATCAACAAATTGATTTACATCAAAGGATTAAACAAAATGACCCAAGATACTAAAAGCCTCAAAAATAAAATGTTTTACTATGGTCCTTGCATTTAAGGACATGAAATATGGACAAATAAGATATTGGTATTCTTGTGTATACAATACACTTGGTATACAATATTCTCTGATTTCAGGCTTCTGGAAAGGACTGACCCTTCCTTTCTGAAATCATGCAACACCACCGAGCTGCAGGAAACAGGAGAAGGAGAAACTATGGCTCCTTATCTGATGGTAAGTTTGTGTTTTGTTATGTGTCGCTGCAGTTTATGCCAATAACTAACTTTCAAAAACTCACTATTATTTAACAATAAATTGGGATTTCCCTTAAACGATGTAAGAACCATTTAGAATCTTTCTGACCTTGTTTTTAATTTATTTTATTTATTTTTAAAGTAGTATTCCTTTTGATGACACTGGTGGCTAATACCCAATTGCCATGGTTTTATTGTAGCAAAAATAACTGTAGTACTACGGTATAAAGTGGTTTACATTAAACGGATATACACATTAAAGAAATATTGATGCCCTTGTTTGTTTGTGTAGGACTGCAGGCGAAAACAGAAGCATATATTCAGGCAGCTGTGTGTGGTGGTTGACATGATCCAGCTGCTGGCAGGTCTAGAGTCAGTGGATCAGCTACTGAATAAGCCATGTCCCCAAAACCCAGGTAACACACACGCCATGGATTATTCTATATATGACTGTTCATTGCTACATTTGCTAAACAGTGAAATGATGCCTTGTTTCGTGTGTGTTGGCCCACAGGTAATAAAGCTCGTTCTGCATGGAAGGCTTTAAAAGCCGAATATCTGGAGAGAGTTCAGGAGGTGGAGGGGATGATCAGCACTCTCCGGGATCGCATGGAGGAGCTTCAGGGGAAACGGAAGACACTGGAGACTCTACTGTCTGCTCTGCAGATAAAGGTAATATCAGACTTTCCTTTTTTTGCCTTTCTTCTATCAATAAATTCAGAAAAAAATGGCTTTTTATCTGATTTAGCGAAAAGAGTCATCTGATAAAAGGCTATTGTTTCAGGTTATTGTATGGCCTTATACTCATGAATTCAAACAATGGCTACTTTTATGATGCAGTTTTATACAACTAAACATGGAGCTTCACACTTGCATATTCTTACAGTTGTATTGTACATGAAATCTCATTCTTGTTCAGAAAGAGGAGTGCAAAGAGAAGGAGAGAATCACAGCTAAACGAAATCAGAGAGCTGAGGTAAGACATCCGCTCACTTTAGACTTCCTGGTCTGGCTAGTTAGCTCCAATAATTTCCACTTTTCTTCACCAAAAACAGCTGTGGGACAAACGGGTTGAATCAAATTGGTTGAATTCTTGCTCCTTTCTCTCACACACAGAAACAAATCAGCTTTCAGTTGGAAGATTCCATCCAGGCAGCCCAAAACTCGATGAATGCATGTGATTTGCAGTTTTCTAAGCTCAAGGATGAGGTTGAAAAGCAGCAGGCTCGAATTAGTGACTGGACAATATTAAGAGATGGGTGAGTTTGTGCATACACAACTTATTTATCAAATAATTAAGAAAAAAATTTATCACAATTTCCACAAAAATATTAAGCAGCACAACTGTTTTGAACATTGATAATAAGAATAATAGTACATTTTCCTTGAACAGCTAATCAACATTTTCGAATGATTTCTGAAGGATCATGTCACACTAAAGCCTGAAGAAATAGATTTTAGTCAGTTTAGAAGCCATATTGACTATAACGTGGATTAAAACGAGGCTGTGAGGAACAGGCTACATTGGTTTTTACATTGGCTTGCGCTTTTTAAATAATTCACGTAATAATAAATCACATAATTTTGACGTTTTACAGAGTTCTTGTGTAAAACGCACTGTGCTGTTGCTGTGACTGATTACACTGAAGATTTCTTTTTAATATTCAGAACGTTTTTGCTGCAGAAATATTTCAACACAATAAACTCCCCTTTTTCTTTCTCTTATTTTCTTTGTCTCTCAGACTGCAGACCTTAGTCAACGTGACTCACAGAAACATGGCGTACAGGCTGCTGTCAGTCAGTTCCTCTGAGCTGTGCCTTGAGCTCTTGCCTCGTGCTGCCGAAATATCACTTGAACCCCTGCGTGTCTCCATCACCATGACAACCAGCGATGAATTTCATCTTCAGGTACTGTGTCTCAGCATATATTTCCCTATAGAGATGCTGAGAGCTGTGTTTTATGAAGTGAGGGATGAATTGCCAAAGAAGGAACATGCTTGTAAATTATAAAATTATATTTTGTACACGTACACACACTCTCATTATGATGAGACTATAATTTGTAATGCTGTATTAAATAGGACGAGAATTCAGATAAATATTATCTAAAGCACTATTCATACTACATAACTTCAAACATGTTTAGCCACTAAAAGATTTTAGTATTTAAAAAAAAAAAGTATTTTGTGTTTAATTATTTTTAAAAAATCAACAATCAAGAAAGACGTTATTCATTTGAACAATTATTACTATCTGATATTTTTAAAACTTTTGAATGGTAGTGTACATATAATAATACAACTAAATAGTCTTGTTTCTGTGAGTGGTAATATTCCTCTAGAAGTATATTTCTTTTTAGCCTTATCTGGTTCTCATTTTCTTTTACTACATTATTGTAAATGTATCTCTTTTTCCTGTGTTTCAGGTGTTTCAGGGAACTGCTGGCCTTGTCGAGGAGGCAGTGAATGGGCGTCTTAGGCAAGTGAGCGCCGCCCTTGTGGAGGTGCTGGAGCGGTACATAAGTCAAGGAGAGATGCTGTCTGAGATTCAGGCTCTGCACTCCAGGTACATTTTCTTAAAGTATATACATACATTTTTCATAAATCTCATTATCATTTCTACCTTTTATGACTGTAAAGGTCAGATTCATCACAAGTCGCTGATAAAGAAAAAGGTTCATTAGGTTCATCAACCCAAAGACACCATACAACTCAGGTCTTCAAATTGAAAATCTTTTTTTCTTTAACCTGTGAAATGTTGTGTTAGCCACGTAGTAATTTTTTTATTGCTAAAAACGTTCAGCTTACATAAAAGGATTAGTTCACTTCCAGAATAAACATTTCCTAATAATTTACTCACCCCCATGTCATCCAAGATATACATTTTCTTATATTTTTCTTCATATAGTGGACTTCAATGGGACCCAACAGGTTGAAGGTCCAAATTGCAGTTTCAGTGCAGCTTGAAAGGGCTCTCTACATGATCTCAGCCGAGGAATAAGGGTCTTAACTAGTGAAATGATCAGTCATTAAAAAAAAAAAAAAAAACACAAAAATGTTTTTTTTTAACCACAAATGCTCATCTTGCACTTGCTCGACCATGTGCATTACGTAATCACACACGTGTGACGTCGGCGGAAGTACCGACCCAGTGTTTACAATGCAAACATGCAAAGAAAGTTAAATGCTCTTTACAAAAAAGGTAAAACGATGTCGGACGATTTTGAAGTTGGTGAAGAAAATGAGATTGAGAAAATGAGCCCGACCCTACCTTTTTGAACCGAAAAACACAGACAAATAACTAACCACGCGTGACCTTTCCAACGTGATTACATAATGCGTGAAGTCACAGGCTTGGCACTGGAAATTAACTAATTTAATTCATTTTATTACTACACCATGCAAGCTTGCAATAATATATATCATTAAAGTAGCCCGTTCACCACCGTCTTTTATTGGATCTCAGATGCTGAAAAATTTTCTTATTTAGAAATAGAATAGAAATTGAAATTTAAGTTAACTGCACTGGATCTCAACATTATGTTCTTTACAGCAAAAATGGGAAACTTGTTTTACACTATGAAGAAATGTACTCCCTGTATCTCATATACAATTTTTGGTTTGTTTCGACAGGTTTGCGATTGATTGGTGTCCTGCTGAAAAGCTTCTGATCTTTCTCAAGACTGCGACCACCGTATGTCACCTGAGGGTTGAGGAGGGATACCCATCACACGGCCGAGCTACTCTCCTGTCTGTGAGGAAAGATGGCAATCTGCTTGATATCACCGATCTACAGGTGAGGAAGACTGAAAAGATTTCATTTCTATTCACTAATTTCTATTACTTCTTTACTAACCATGACGCAAAGCATCAAAATATGCAAATATCCATGTTGTTGCTGATTTTTTTCACCAAATTTGTGCCATATTCAAACTTCATAAATATTATTCCAAATTCTTATAAATTGTAGTCTTTGTTTTCATGTTGGCTTGATATGTTTTTGAAAAGTTCTAAATAGTTTTAAGAAAGGATTTAATTTAATCGCCACGTTTAAATATTTTTCTTACATGTTTAATGCTTGTGAGTGTTTAATTTCAAAAACTTTTTTTTTTTTTTTTCAAGGTAAAAGTTTTTTTTATTTTTTTTTAATTAAATATCAGGAATTATAAATTCATAGATATCAATATACTTTTGGAGAGCTGCCCCTCATGACATTTTAAATTCTGAACTAACCTTGCCTTGTTATAAGTCCCCCCCCCTAAATTTAGTAATTTAGTTGTATAAAATTATGCCAAACTATTTAATAATGTTTTCTTTTTATGAATTTCAGTCATTGTTTTTTATTACTTTATTATGATATCAGAACAACTGTATCATTTTTGTAATTAATTCTCCCCCCAAAAATACCAAAATAAATATTAATCCATCATTTGCTCCTCATAGAGGAGATGCATTTAATTCATTGAATGTATAAATTGCATTTTAATGCATGTTTATTAGATTGGGTCTTTTTGTATGTGAAGTAAGTGTAGTTGAGAGACTGCCATGCTGCATTGAGACTACATTGAGCATTTTCTGAAAATGTTCCCCAAGCCAAGTAATTGGTATAATGTTCCCAAGCCAAGTAATTGGAATATCCCAATCTCTTATAGGAGGTCAAGATGTTACCAGCTCAGATCCTTGCAACATTATTTTCTGTGTCTTTTCTGAATTCGGTTTGTTCATTTATAAATCACTGTTTTCAGCCCCCAGTGCAACATCTTGTTCTGACAGAGTGGCTTGAGTTTCTCTCCTCCAGTCCGAACATCTGACATCACGAAATTTACCCCAGGCCAGATCCTCCGGGTTAGACTTCATCATGTATGTCACGTCCTGAGTCAGAGTCTATTATATGACACACAATCCATTTGCATTGTACAGTTCTAGTTGTATTGTTGATACATAAAAATTAATGTTTGTGTTGTGTCTGCATTGTGAGTCAGAAAGTACTTTCAGACTTTATCTAACCAACCCAGACTGTCATTATTATTTGCATAAAATTGCTCTTCGCTCATGTCAACAGATTGGGAGAGCCAGCAGTTCAGTTTGAGACTCATATGTTTTCAAGTAGCAAAGAGCTCTGCATTGTTCACGTAGTAAATGCAGGTCACATGACATCTCTCAGCAGTATAGTTTAAATTTACTGTTTGTGTCTATTATATAACAAAAAGGTAAATAAAATGAATCTAAAATGTATAAAATGGCATGCAGTTTTCACTTCACTCTTTTACGTTTAGTCAGCTCTGGTTTTTCCACACTAGAGGGCAGCACTTCCTGTGAAGAGCACCACATGCATATTATTCCATCTGCTATGGTCTGACATAACAGGTTAGGTAATGAATTAAGAGTGTATCTGGAGACTCAAGCTTGTTCTTCTGCTGCCTGGTTCACGTAGTAAATGCAGGTCACATGACATCTCTCAGCAGTATAGTTTAAATTTACTGTTTGTGTCTATTATATAACAAAAAGGTAAATAAAATGAATCTAAAATGTATAAAATGGTATGCAGTTTTCACTTCACTCTTTTACGTTTACAGTCAGCTCTGGTTTTTCCACACTAGAGGGCAGCACTTCCTGTGAAGAGCACCACATGCATATTATTCCATCTGCTATGGTCTGACATAACAGGTTAGGTAATGAATTAAGAGTGTATCTGGAGACTCAAGCTTGTTCTTCTGCTGCCTGTATATTTAATCCCCTTTTTTTACTACACAACAGTTGTGTAGAATCATTTTTCATTTTTGAAGTGTCGTATATTTCCATCATGTCAGACACGAAAAGCTCCTATCACGTTGGCTTCTGGCCACCCCTGAGCTTGTTATGAAACCAGAGATCAAAGTCATTTTTTTTCTTCCCATGGTTGTTCTGACATTCTCCACTCGGCACTTAGAGCATGACTCCCCTTTCTGTACCAGTTATCCGCCCTCAGGCGCTGCACAACAGGAGCTGCTCTCATTGGCCAAGTAAGATGTGAGGTTTGCTCTGGATTTGACCAATAGCGAGCTGTGAAACTGATTATGAGGGCACAATGACCCAGTTTTGGGTCCATGTGTGTGGAGAACACTCCACATATTCTCTGCTTATTCTGGTGTCTGTAATGAGAAAGGGCCTGGACTACGTGATGTGCTTTCACACCCGTTTTTATAGATCAGATTCCACGTCCGGTGGGGAAAATTAAGACAGAGCTTGGCATATAATGACTTTTGACCTTTTGAGTCCTTCGTAATCACCTCAGTAAACTATTGCTTCTGTCCCTCTTAAAATCAGTTTTTTTTTTTGTATATAATAATTGCCTTTAAGCTCTTGCAGTATCTTGTAATCAGTATTTGCTTGCATTGCTAATTAAGCATACCTTATTCTTTCCACATTGCTTTGTCATTTAAAAAAAAAAAAAAAAGTGCCAGATTTATTTATTGGTAGTATTTACTCAAGTCAGTGTAATGAGGGGATTCATAATGAATATAAATCTTTACTGTTTACTAAATTACTGTTATTGAATGTTTTTACTTTTTGCAATAACTTTTTAATGTTTCCTGTGTTAGGTATATTGATTCTATTGTTTGTTAGGAATTCAGTATTATTGAATGTCACATGTAAATTTCCAGTATTTAATATTTTCAATATTCCTCCATTTTTTCCTTCATTTATATGTATAACCGTTGGTAATTTATAAAATAACATTTCTATTTGAATATATATTTAAATGCAATATTCCAGTGATGGCAAAGTTGATTTTTCAGCAGCATTACTGCAGTCTTTAGTCACATGATCCTTCAGAAATCATTCTAATTTGATGATTTGCTCCTCAAGAAACATTTCTTATTATTATCAATGTTGGAAACGGTTGTGCTGCTTAATATTTTTGTGGAAACCAGGACATTATTTTCAGGCTTTTAAGAATGGATAATTCAAAAGAACAGCATTTATTTAAAATATAAATCTTTTAATTATTGTTTGTCACATTTAATCACTTAAATGTCTTTGCTGAATAGAAGTATTATGATTATTAAATTGTACTAAATCCCAAACTTTTAAACATACATAATGTACTAGTTTACTTCCCAGTCCTGTTCAGTGTCAGAGCTTATGGAAAAGAATTGGCATCATTTCCTGTCTTCCATATTTGGTACACGTCAGCTCCCACTAGAGGACACAGCCTTAACTTTACAATCCAGGACAGCAATGATACATTTTCCCTGGTGTTCTCTTGACACTGAAAAGCTCCTTTTTAGTATACCTAGTATATTATACATAGTACTTTATGTAGTTTTTTTTTATCATTCAGTTAGTATTTCATAAATTTTTACTTAATTTAAATGTAAACATGTTCAGTACACAGATAAACCAAAATTTATTCAAGATGCAAAAGTTAAAAACATTACATAGAGATAAAAAAAACGACACACTATACTTGTTTCATAAAATGCCTTTATGAAGAAGACAACTGAAATACATGTCTTGATGTCTATAATATGCATACACTCTACTTATATATCTGTGCTTGAGTAGATTTATCATTTGCGTTGAGCATGTGAACTTTACAAAAAAATATATATTATACATTTTGAAACATTTAATGTACAGTGGGTACGGAAAGTATTCAGACCCCCTTAAATTTTTCACTCTTTGTTATATTGCAGCCATTTGCTAAATAACTTAAATGATTTTAGCAAATGGCTGCAATATAACAAAGAGTGAAAAATTTAAGGGGGTCTGAATACTTTCCGTACCCACTGTATATCATATTTACACATATTTTACAACGTCACAGGTATGTGATTATGTGTGAAGGTTCATACCACGTATAGCTTGTCATTTGCGTTATAGTTAAAATGATCATAACTTTCTCTGAGTGGGGGTATAGCAGGAACCCAGGCCGGACTGGTCACGAGGAGACGCTTGACGTTTTTCTGCCGTCGTCCCATGTTTGGAAGTGGCCTGGAGATCCTTCTGGCTTGGCTGTGACTCCTTACAAGAGGCATTTTGCACTTGTTCCCCATGTGGATGCAGTCCAAATGTGAGTGTTTTTTGTCTGCTTTATTATTAGCTTAATCTTACCACCCATTTCAGGTAAGTACTGAAAGTGGCTCAAGGAACGTTTATGGTTATCAAGCCATAAAGGCTACTGACCGACCATTAGACACCAAAGCGTCCCTTTAAATGTGTCATCAAGTGCTTTTAAGTGCCAAAGCCATGAGTTTGCTTTCTGGTGGGTTCTCTTGGAAAGAGTTCTAATGTTTGTACCCATTCTGTCTTTCAGTCAACCAGCGGTGACCCACTTTCACCAGCTTCTTGCAACCTCAGGCATCAATGCGGAAAGAGAGCAGCTTCTCTGAGTGCATGTTATTCAGCGTGCGCAGGTCAGGAAGTTTGAGCAGCAGCTTGGTGAATCGGGAGGCGTCATTAGGGGCGTTCTTGCTGATGAGGGATCGGAGAGCCCGGATTAAACTTTCCTGAAGCATCTCCACTGAATTCACGTTTTCAATGCCAGAACGGTCTGTACAACAGAAACAAACAATGAGAGACCCAATTAATTAGTGGATCAAATGAAGGTACTTTCGTACTGCACAGAAGAAAGACAGTCTTGAAGGTTTGGAATGACATGATTTGATTTACCAACCCTCATGTTGCTTCAAACTAATAAAGCTTTGGTTCATCTTTACAAATTAAGATACTTTTTATGAAACCTGAGAGGTTTCTGTCCTTCCATTGAAGTTCCAGGTAAGTCCAAAAAGGTCATAAATCATCATATAGAGCGATCGTATCTCTTTTGGATCTTCTAGGTTTTGGTTACATAGGCTTTCAATGGAGGAACAGAAACCTCTCCGGTTTCATTAAAAATATCTGAATTTGTCTTACGGGTTTGGAACAATATGAGGGTGAGTAGATGATGACAGTTTTCATTTTTGAGTGAACTTTCTCTTTAACACTAATATGCAACTGACCTGCAGACACCAGCACGACTGCAGTGAAGAGTCCCAGTTCTTCTGCTGAGAGCTCTAGTGCGTTGAGTTTTTCACTGAAGTCGAACATGATTCCCAGCAGATCGCCCATGCCCATGCTTTTCAGGGCCTCCAGGCTGTAGGTGGTGCCCGAGATGAACGTTACGGTCCTCTCTTTTACGTTAAACAGAGAGGAGAAGCGCACCATGAGGACCTGCAGGAGATATTCAAAAATAAATACGCACTTCGTAAAACCATCAAGGCGTAATTGGCACTGTGGCCTTGATGCAAGTCAGTTGTTTTAAATAAAACACCAATAACTTACCTCAAACGTTCCGGCCTTCAGCAAAGTGACCTGGTCGTTCTGGGATAGCGTGCTAAACCCTGGGATGTGTTTGGCGAACTCCACCACCTCTCTGACCGCTGGGGTGAAGCAAAGAGAGAAGTCTTCCCAGATTTCCTGTGGTGTTTTGTTGGGGTCTGAGTAAGGATGCATGTTCATTGGACAAGCCTGGAAAAAAAAGGAATCATCATCACTTCCAAGTCCTCTTTACTTGGTAATCACCTATAGAGTAGTTTAAATATCAAAGATCTTACCAGCAGAATCTCCTTGTGTTTTTTCCACGGACAGTTCTGCCCCTGGGAGCTGCTGTTCATCTCCTGACTGTGGTGGGGAACGCCAAAGAGGTTACTGTTTGGAGGTCGCTGACCATTGTTATTGTGCTGCTGATGTTGTCCAGAGGCTTGAAAATGGAGGCCATTTTCTGGTGGCACCTCGAAGTTGTTACAATGATGAGCGACATTATTATCATGGTGGTAGATGGTGTTGGGGCCGTTGAGGTGGTATCCAGCCATGCAGCGGTTGCTGCTTTGGTTGTCCAGCTCGCCGTTGTGAGGCATAAGTGCTGGACCCAACTTATCATGGGCGTAGATGAAGGTCTCACGGTGTGCTCTGGTTATGGCGGCGATGGTTTTATCTACACCTGGACTGGAGCACGGTGGTGGAGAAGTCGTCTGCACCGAAGGGAAGGTTGGGGTCGGAGGGGAAGGGGACGGTGCTATGGCCACTGCGGGGGGCTGGGGTTGCGGTCCCACTGTAAGCCCCGGGCACGGAGATGAGGATGGGGATGACGAAGAAGAGCAGGGGGTGTTGGATGTGATTCTCGCCAGCTGGAATTCATTCTGA